GTTTTTTTGCTAAAAACACATTTGAGGAAAAAAAAAATACTAAGAAACACTTTTAAAAGTTTAGATGAATATTAATTAGAGATGCTTAATAATGTTTTTTTGTTATAAAATATAAGCTCAGAATAATATAATAAAGAGAAGAAGACAAGCTATAGAGATAAAGAAGATGACTTTTCTTCTTATTCAAGTGTATTTCAAATGGTGAGTGATATCTCTATTTATAGTGTTGAGATATCACTCCCAAAGGTCACCAAAGTAGTAGATACATAGTTATCCCCTAAGGTTCTTATCACCTTGGAAGCACCCATACATGAATCCAATTAATTCTTTAATAAATCTAATGGATAATCCACACAATGCAATGGATTATAACACTTTTAAATTTATTGTTTAAATACAAGTTGTTTCTCGTAAAAATATGATTTTGTTAAAAACTTTTATAAAAAAACAATTTAAAAAATAATTTAATTTTAAAAACGTAGTCAAACATGCAATAAATTTGTTTCAGGAAAACTACTAAATAGATGTATCAAATTAATGGACTTTAATTGAGTCTACACTTGTACATTTTGCGACCACACAGGATTTTCTTCTTTAACATTAATTTCTTTATTGTTATTATTATTATTATTATTGAAATGCATTTTGACAAAAAAAAGGTATGTAGTCGAACTTCAATATGAATAATATAAAATAAAAAAAATAGTTTATATTTAGTTTGGGAAATTTGATAGAAAGAATTAAAAAGGAAAAGAGAAACAAATCGTTTTCCAAAACGAGCAACAGAAGTTCGTATAACCTAAAGTTCATTTATTATATTGTGAGGTCACAAACAACGTAATCAATTCAAAATCAGTTAATCATTTTCATATTGTTAATGTAATGAACATAACGTAATGGAAATAGCAAAAGAGATGATCAAATTGAAATAAGAATAAGGAGGGAATGATAAGATTATTATTAAGCTTTTCGATTAAAATCGCAAAAATTAAAAAGCTATCAACAATTGAACAATAAAATATGTATAAAATGTGTAATATGGTGTATTCAAATGTCCAAAATGAGGTGAGTAAGGGGAATTTAGAATGAGCTATGTCTATCTGTTTTCGTTATAATTATCTATTTTAGACGTTACATGACTGACATTATGGTTAGAAAATGAAATTATGAATATCTCAAAATTTGGTTGTTATTTGCATTATCATCTATCTGAGGCACACTGTCACACCCCAAATCCGGATGTGATGGCACGTGTCCATTTTCCACCGGACACGTCAGCCTAACCCACCCACACCGACATGTGTGGAATTGAAGAAATTGTTTGTCACATCCCAAATCCGGATGTGATGGCACGTGTCCATTTCCCACCGGACACGTCAGCCTAACCCAACCACAACGATAGAGAAGTAGAAATACGAGAATAAAAGATAATAAATAAGCGGAAGACTTTAATTAAGACTCAACACTACCCAGAATTGGTTGTCACATGTACAAACCTCTAAATACGGAATTTGAATAAAAATATACAAGTCTCAGAGTATAGTTCTCGAATAGAACAAAATTGAAAGTAAAGATAACTCAAGGGCACGTCTGGAATGAACCGCTACCTCTCAAGTAAGTCTGGAAGCTCTAATCTGAAGATGAGTAATAAGCCGGATCTGATAGAGCTGTCAACCTACACAACTGTGTAGAAGCAAGGGTGAGTACCAAAAGCAATAGGTACTCGCAAGTAACACTAAACTAAGCTAAACTAGCAGCTACAAACAACTTCTTTCAATCCCAACCGAACCACCGAAACTTCAATCTAGCAGCAAACCAACCAACCTATACTAAACAGATCATATTCAACAGCCAGAACCAACAGTATATCCTCATCAACCTCAGATCAACAAATAAGAGCAAGTAGATCAAATTTCACATAAGAAGGGTAAACCGATACAATCCACACATCACAGACAAAGATAAGGCAAATGCGATGCAAAATGCAATAATGATGTCATGTAGTCGTGATGCATGTTTGTCCTACGATACACATCTGTTGACGTAATCAGTCTGCGCTGAATACTCAAATCAGAACCCATGGGGGCCACACATGGACCATGTATCACCGCCGGAACCAGATCCCATCGGCATCCAAATCGCTAGCCGGAGCTAGTCTCAACTGTGTCTCATATCCATCCATCCTCATATCAGTGTCTCAGAACTCATGCAACAGATAGTTCACACATGGGATGAATAATGAATATGCACATGTCATCAATCACAATCATATCACGATCACATCATAGTATTACACATCATCTGTTTCAACATCAATGTCTGTATCAATCATAGCCTACTCATGCTCTTCTATCCCCTCAATATCAGTTATCACATGACTTATTCAACAAATTCAAGTTACATATAACACATTTAGCTCGTTTTATTTCCCCATCTTTCATTTACAACAATTTCAATCAACAAATAAAACCCATCCTCAATCCCCCTTACTCCCCAACACAATTAGGAAAGTAGTCATGCGTAGTCTAAGAGTTTTACAAAGTTTGGAAGCCACTTGCCTTAAAACGAACTCCAAAAGTTACTTGACTTGAGCCTTTCCTTTCCGAGTATAATCCGGATCACGATAATCTATTCAAACAATTATTCACAATCACAATTCGAGTCCAATGACACCAAAATCAAGAAATTTAGGGGAAAAGGGCAAAACGGTCCAAAAGTCTCATATCGGAAAACGATACCCAAATCTGGAAATTTTTTATGTAAAATGATCCTTAAAGTATTTGGAAGCTAATGGTGAAAACCAATTTGAAAACGGAGTTGAAATCAATTCACAAACTCAATTTGAAGGAAAATCCTCGTTCTTGAAGAAGCCTAAAATATTCGGATCCGAAACCCCGACTCGAAAATGAAATATTTCTTGAAAAACATCTTACCCATGCTTAGATAAGTTCAAATATGAAATTTCATCAAAAACGGAGTTAAGATCGACCTTGAAATTCTCAATTTATCAAACTTTAACTTTACCGGGAAAGTCCAAATTGTACGCGGTTAATATGATGAAAATAATCGATGAATCAATAATTTATGTTAAAATCAGTTTATCCATAACATAAGGATCGTAAATATACCTTTTTCATAAAAAAGGGAGTCCAAATCAATAAAACCCCAATTTTTCCCAAGAGATTTACGGATAGGAAAAAAAATCAGATAAAGAAATTATGAGAAAATGTCGAATTGAAGATTGAATACTAACCCTCATATTAATTCAAGAAGAAACCCGTAAGAATCACTCCATTCCGATCTCTAGAACTCCCGATATGCTCAAAATACCAAATGAACACAGTCTGTGATTTTTATAACAGTACATGGCTGTTATGCACCAGAAAAAACAGCAGTTAATCTTTCACTAAAAAAGGCCGTAATTTCCTCATACGATAGTGAAATGACCCGATTCTTTATTGTAAATGTCTTATATAATGATACGGACCTGCTCGTTCAATCGGAGCTCAATTTTATGCTCGTTGCCCAGTCAAATATCATTTCTACTCGGTAAACAATTATTTCTTATTTGCGAAAAAAGTCCAATCTCGGGTTAGCGAAAATGCACCAAAATTTTTCAGATAAGTCCTATAATTCATGCTCAAAATTTCAGAACCTTCGGAATAGTTTTTCGACCTTTAAAACTAATAATGAACCCTTTAGTTGCCACAATTTGCTGAAATAGTGTCAAAGCATCCAAGAAGCTTAAAAGCTCACCCAAAACTCATTTGGCACTTCCCGAACACAAACCAAATATGCTACTAGCTTGAAAATGACATTTCGGACTCAATGAAATCGTCGGAATTTGAATTCGAACTCTCCTTGACCCGGTATCCGATAAGGCGTCAAGAAACTAACTTTAGGCTCAAAAACTCGAAACGCACTCGGGGCCTCTAAAAATTCAACCAAGACTCATTCTAGACTTAGAATCACCCCCTGAATCCAACGGTGCCCTCGGAATTCCATTTCGAGCACCGGAACCTCGTTTGTTGACCAAAGTCAACTCTTGATCAAAATTTCACAATTTTTGCAACTTAGGACCTCAAATCTTCGTTTTAACTCCAAATTCGACTCCGTAAATTCTCATAGACCCGTTTCGACATTCTAAAACTGCTGGAATCGACAGAAATCCGATTCGAGTCTCGAAACTCCAAATGACTCGAAATAGCACTTTTAACCAAACTTTAACTCTTAAAAACTCACTAAAACTGTTGGAATCGACGGAAATCCGATTCGAGTCTCGAAACTCCAAATGACTCGAAATAGCACTTTTAACCAAACTTTAACTCTTAAAAACTCAACTTTTCATCAATTTTCCTTCAAACCAACTTCGAAAATACAACAATTAGGACTCGGGGCAACTATCGGGAGGGGTAAACCGGTCATTTTATGAAAATTTCCAAAAATGACCTTTAGGGTCATTACACACACCTCCAAGTCTATATAGACGGATCACTCCGGACCAGTGCGAATGAACAAAAGCAGGTTTTTGAGAGCTAATTTTTGAAAGTCAAATAAGTTTTTGATCTGATTGACATTAATTGACTTCTCGTTTTACTGAATCCTCTCTTCATTTGCCACGTGTCCGGTCAAATAATCTGTCCCAACATACTTTCCATATTGTTTTTCAGTTATATTATTTACTATATAACGTTTCTAAGGTAATGACTAATGACAACAACGTACACGGCACCATTGTTCTTGTTCTAGTTGCCACGAATAAAAGAATGTCACTTTACTAGTTGCAACGGTATTAATCTACTTAATTTAATCCCAAAAGTTACTATATGTCTTATTTATACAATTTAATTTCCATGACAAACGAAAATTTATCACCTTACTATCTACGTCTCCGACTTCGTGTATAGCGATTTAAATTATGACCTTTTGTCTATTGAGTTGTCCCATTTGAAACAAAATATATTAAAAGATTAATAATAATATACTTTAGTGTTGAGTACTAAGAACAAACGACAATTTTTAGTATGTTATTGCATCCAAACAAGGCATAACCTTTTTCCAATGATTAGAACATGTATTATATTACTAACCAAGAAATAGTACAAAGGAAAAACAACAAATTTAGGCATATGACATAAGGCTAAAGAACAAATACTAGTTTAAAATGTTGGGAACTCAATGCTTGTGCCACATTTCCCTCCAGGGAAAATAGGGCACTCGATGAGATTTGAACCCGAGCCATCAACACAAATATAAACCTGGTATAACTGACTGTTACCCGATTGATCTACATTACATTGGATCCAAGGAGTGTATCCAATCGCGCTTTTAATTGCATTTCTAATGTTGACCAAGTCATAAGATTTGCCGTCAGGGTGAATGTCAGCACCTTGAAGAATTGACAAAAGATCAACTTGATTCTTGAGATCAAGAGTCTTCTTGAAATAAGCATGTTGGTTTGTGAAAACAGATTCAGCACAAGTGCCATGTTTTTCCCATTCATGTGACCAAAATGTTGAGCCACTACCACTTGGGCATGCTAGTGTTGGCCAATTTTGCTGCATTCTACTAATTAAGTCAGAAACCTGTCGAGTCAATTCAAGAACTTGTGAGTATATAGTAATGAAATCAGAAATTCATATAAGGAGATTCAAAAAAATGTTGAACCATCACACCTATGAGTTGAACTAATGATCTAAAGAAAATCTTGAACCTCGTATATAATTACACTAGAGTCTTTTCTTATATCAAGGAATTCAACCCTTCATATATAATCAAGAGAATTCATTTTCGTCATATATATACCGTCTAATTTTTTGACGAAGGAGACTCAATTAAACCACTAGAATCTTTTTTTATGCCAATAAGATTCAACAATTCATATATAACAACAAAAATATCATTTTGGTCATACTTGTGAACCTTGTACTTTAAACCCCTTGCCTTCCTTTAAGATCCGCCCCCAGAATTCTATGAGTTCAATTGAACCTTGTACTTTAAACACGAATAATAGAAAAATAGTAGTGGAAAAAAAGCTAAATTTTTAACAAAAAATTAAACTTTGAACCCTAATTCAAAAACATAACGAGTTCAGTACTAAAAACCCAATGACTAACCCGAAATATTTAAAACTTGAATTCACCTCTGGTGACATCAATTAGAATAAGAATATGTTTCTAGAATATTGAATACCTGAGATTGGTCATAAGGATTGTTTGGATCACAATTTGATGGATAAGTCCCATCATTATTATTAGGCCAAAGTCCATGAATTCCAAAATCTGCTGCTGGTTTTCCAGTTGTAGGGTAACAACAACTTTGTTTAGTGTCACAGTATGATCCTGGCCACTACATAAACAGAAAAAAAAATATATATTGATTATAATAAAAAAATTATATCCGAAATAGTCTCTCGACCCCACAAAAATAGGGATACAATAATCTGCGTACATTTTAACCTCTCCAGACTTGAAAAAAAATGAATCAACTAAACAAATTAGATGTGTACCTGTTGAACAAAGTAGAAAAAGTCAAAATCTGTAGCAGCATTGAGGACTGATAAACATTGTGTAATAATCAAGAAAATCAAGAACAGAGAAAAGGCTGAATTAGAAGCCATTTTTTTTTTTTGCTTGTACAAAAAAAATATTAATTTTTGTATTGGTAGTGATTTGATAAAGTGATTTGGGGGTTTTATTTATAGGAAAAGGATAATAAATGAAAGGTGTGAACAGTCTAACTTTTTAAAGTGTGAAATTGAGAAGCTTGATATTATAATATGATTTGGATTTTGTATCCTTTATTAGTGTTTATGATGTTGACACAATTGATAAGATGCCAATTATTGATTTTTGGTATATTCTAAAGTATATTTTGTATAATAATAATAATAATGTTATTTTAATATGTTGATTTGGGCTGATTTTAAGGAAACATTTTTACTTTTATTCCTTTTAGAGAACCTTTTCTCAAATCTTGGAAAGATGGAAAGTTGTCAATAAAGTAAGTTCTTTGTATTAAGATAGAATACGCTCTGGCTTAGATTATTTTTCGTGAATTTTAAAAATAATTATTTATTATTTTAAAAGTTTAAGATAATTTTTTTTATTTTTACTAGTAGTTGTTTTTGAAGATTATAAATATCTTAGTAGAATAAATATTGAATAAAGAGATTATCCGGTTTGATCAAGTTTTTAAAATCATTTTATTTTTAAAAGGGGCTCTTTCAATAGTGATTTCAGAAAAATACTTTTTATATGAGAAGTAGTTTGTGTTTGACTGATAAATTTAAAAAAAAACATTTTAGAGCAACAATTAGTGCTTGGTTAAATTTAAAATGTACTTTCTACGTATATTTATTTTTCTCAAAAGGGTTTTCAGAAAATAATTTTACAGTAAAAATCACGTTTAAGCTTATAAAAACAGTTTCTACTACTCTCCAAAACATTTATTTTTTATTATAAACTCGATTAAATACCTCATTTTTTAAAAATAAGCATTTTTTATCTTCTAAAAAATTGGTGAAATAAACTATAATATCTCTTTAAAATATAAATGAGGGTGAAATAATGAAGAAAAGCCTTCTAACTACTATTATTTTGCAAGAGACGTGTAACAAACATATAATTTAAAATTAAGGAAGTAATTATTGAGTTCATTATTATATAAGGTTCATTAAATAATATAAAAACGGTTCATATGAATGCAATGTGTGATATATTATATTTTTTAAAGTCTTGATTAATTGAATTATTGGCCACTGTCGATTTCAGACTTGTACTTCCCTCATTAATTAATTGTTCATTATATCTATATCATTAATAGACATTATATATGCTCTCCAATCTCCATACCTCTCCCATAATTCTTACAATTGAGTTTCAGTTCACACTTCACACTGATATCGTATATTGGTAAAGAATTTACTCACACAAGATATTTAAATTAAATTAATAATTTTAAATAAAGTATTTTTAATTGAAATATATAGTCAAACGTCTATTATATCTTGTGTTAATCTGTCAAAAGGTTATATCTTGTGTTAATCTATCAAAAGGTTATATCTTAATTTTAGAGCGTAAAATCTACAAAGTGTACAATTTTATTGTATCCATTTGAATTATGCACTTTTTAAAAAAGAAAATATATAAGTTATACATATATGTATACAATTTGCAACCTTATCTAGAAGCAGAGGTGGAATCGTAACTTTCGGCAAGTAAGTTCAAAAAGGTAAAAAAATGTCTCTAGCAACAATCAAATCCATAATAATGAGGTAAACACTAAACCCTTCGGCCCCCAGAACTAAAGTGGGATTCAGAACTTAATATTTATACATAAATAACTAAATTAACTTTATATCTGTAATGTAATTTTTCACCGAAAGAAATTAAACAATTTAAGAAATTGTATGTGAACACAAGGAAGAGTAGACACTAGACAATAGCAACACATACCTGCACCAGGATCATTTTGGCCTATAGACAACTTTCTTTCATGTCTTTTTTTGTGATGCTTTCACATGTAATCAAATTGCATTATTTTCGAGTTTAAATTAAATTTTATGTAGAGGGTATATAAATATTTCTACAATCAAATCACTTAACTAAAAAAATAATACGTAACCAACTCTATTCAATACTTGCGTTGTTCATAGCCTAGAATTAATAAACATAACTACATAAGTAATCTATTGTAACAAACTAAATTACATTAATGGATTACGTGAAAATTTCATACTACATTGATTTTGTGAGAAATTCATTACATTTATCAATATAAAATAACTTTAAGTTCTTTAATTTTTATGAGTTTAATTTCTATGTATAGATAATATATGTAAGAAAATGTACACTCCTATCAGAAAAATCCCCAATTCTCATTTTGGAGCTTCAACTCTCACATGAAGTTCTTGTTTCGACAATTCAAAAATTGGAGAAGGCTTCAGATCATTTCAAAGAGAATAATAACAAGTAATTCTAATCAATCACGCATTGATTTGTAATTGTGAAGAATTTCATATTGGTGCTTTATGTGGTAGGTAGTCTCTTCTGACTTATGAAATCCTCACCTCCTCAACTAACTCTTAGATTAAGTTAGCCTTATGATTTGATATGTCAAAGTTGTATTCGTGATATTTATTAAGAGTCTCACGTCGATACTTTAAGAGATGCATGCATGATATTTTTAATATAACTTGTATAATACTCATTTCTTAACTTGATTCTTTATCATAACTTAAAATAAAATAACTTGTTATAACAAGTGTGAAAATTGTAAAATATATTTTGAAAAATTCATTATATCGTGACAACTAATGTTCTATTCCATTTCCACCACGGCATTGCCAAAGCCAATGATAAAAATGTTCCAATCCACATTTGCCCAAATTGAACTATACACAAACAAATCTTTTAGGTACGTTAAAACATGTAAAACTTGCACTTTACTCCCTCAGTCGTCAAAATACTTGTCATGTTTCACTTTTCGAAAATTAATATGATTAATTATTAAAAGTACTTAATATTTTAAACTTAAAACATAGATATTGACAACTAAATGAAAAATATCTCTATAAGTTGCAATTTCTCTAATTTTAATATGATGAAAAAATATATCTTAAAATATTGGTCAAGGTTTATGTAATTTGACTGTCGAGAAAAAAATATGACAAGTAATTTGGGACGAGAGATTTATAATATTACAACAAAAAAGACATTTAGTGACAATATATTTTTCTTTTAGCTATCATATTTGTTCCTGCAAAAACATTTAGCTGCAATTGAGTTATGTTATTACATCCAGAATCGCTAAAGCCTTCAGCGACATTTATATAAAGTGTTGGTTATAATAATTATTCCCACTAAATATAATATAACGATAATTATATTATTACCATTAAATAATTGCCACAAAATTCTTTATTTGTTATAGTATAGTCTGAATTTCAAATTTAAGATGTCAATATGCACTCAAACTCATGTCAATTTACACTACTTAGAGAATTAAAAAGGGACAAGGCACTGATTTATCCTTTATAAAAGCATGGGATAGAAAGAATGTTTGGGACAAAATACAAGAGGCTACGTGCGGCAAATAAATGATCAGATCGAATTTAGACAGGTCATAATAAGCTAAAATAATGAAAGGGTCACTATCTAATCCCTGCCCAAAGGTTGGTCAACTCATGTTTTTGATGTGTATTTTACAAAAATGAACATTTTTCAATTTTTGACATTACTTGCTTTATGAATATTGAAAAGAACTTTAAATTTATCGAGTTTTGCCTCATAAATTATTTTGACTTTGAAGGACCACAAGATAAGCAAGGGTTAAAAATTCAAGACCACCATTTTAAAAGTTATTGGGTGTAATTTCCTGAATTTTTAATTTTAGTTTTTTTAATATAATTTGTTCAATTATCAAAAAAAAAAGAACTCATAAAAAGAAATACATTTTTTTTTTATATGGCTATATAAAAAATTTATTAATATTTTGATAAAGTTTTGTATAAATGAATTTAGCCCAAACAACTCAACTATTAAATAGACAAAATTTGAGTGGATTAAAATAAACTAAGTTAATTTATGATTTAAAGTAAATTAAGGTAATATATTAGCCGATTAATGACACACCCAAACTTCTAAGCCCCCAACTTTAATGGATTAAGGGTGTGTTCGATATGAAGGAAAACTTTTTCAGGAAATATTTTTCAATTTTCTTATATTTGTTGGTCAAAATTTTTGGAAAATATCTTCTCTAGGAAAATAAATTTCTAAAAGTAGAAACAATGACTTCCCTAACGAAAGTGTGGAAAACAAGTTCTATAAATCGTATTTCAAGGTACAAAACTTGTCGACATTACCTTCAGCTGCAAATTGGACCTATACATCTTCACAGGTTAGATTTGGGCTCCTTCATGAATAATGGGTTACATTTTGGGCAAGTTTATTTCACGGATTAAAATGGGCTACCCCCGAATTAGCCCATGAGCAATTTATATCGTAAAAATTACTTATAGTATTAAGAGCTAATTACATCCTATTTCTATTTTTTTTTTCTCAAATTACAAAATTCCTTTAATTTATAGGATCTCAGATACATCAGGTCCTCAGAAACTTGTGAATACATAGCTCACAGATTGTGAATGATACATTATTTAATGGAAGGAATGTATCCGAGGGGATAAGGAGATATATCCGAGAGTGGATAGGGATGAATCCGAGAAGAGATTTTTGTATTTTTTTTAAAATTATAGGAAATTTTAGAGATTATGATAAAATAAGATGTGTATTTATGTATTTTTTTTCATTTATATCAATGCCCAAATCGTTGTTGGCTCAAACTTTACGAAATAGGAAGTCACTTTTTTGGAGTTTATGCATCTCAAAACACAAATTTGGGATCATTTTAATTTTTTGTGTATACTAATCCTTGAATTTTTTGAAATATGTGTGACCGACCTTGTTTGAGCTCACACTTTTTTGGGTCCATTGGTGACAACTGATAACCTATTAAATGACATTCGTTATTTTGAAAGGCAGGCATCGTTCGCTTTTTGAACGGTATAAATCACAAAATAGGAATTCAAAATTATCTTAATTTTTCATGAATATTAGTCTATAAATTTTCCGGAATTTGTGTGACCAACTTTGTTTCCAAATCAAGCACAGCCATTTATAAGTAGCATTTGGCACATACTATGGTAAATGCTTTTGTCAGACACAATTAATGGCATAATACATAAATGTGCCCTTTAACTTGATCTTATTTCACAATTATGTCCTTCAATTTTGGGTGTGCACAAATAGACACTCAAACTTGTATAAAGTTGAATAAAGAAACACATGACTCTATTGTCACGTAGGATGCATGTGTCTATTTATTCAATTTTTATACAAGTTTACCCAAAGTTGGAGGACATAAATGTGAACTGAAGT